CCTTCTCTCTCCCTTCCTCTATCTCTAAAAAGATATTTTTAGAAATTTACATGTGGATGTGTATCATATCATGCTAAAGACACCAGCCTGACCAACTAGCACAAACCAACAGATACCAAACTGTGTTCCTTTAATAAACAATTTTGTTTGGTTGCAGTCTCCTCCCCAGCAAGATCCTTTTAATAAACAATTTTGAACAAAATTTAAACAACAAAGTAGCAATCATTGAGAACCACAAGAATTCAAGATAACTCTGGTATGTCACCTGTTCAAAAGAGTCCTTTCCCTTTGCTGGAATTCAAAATATCTCTGTGATAATGAGCACAACAGAATTGGAAAGTAGGAGACCAAGACTTCTTGCTGGAATATTGACTCAGAATCCTCAGTAAATTGATTTTAATTTATCATTTCCAAGCTTAATGACATTTAATAATTTATTGCATTGGTTACCATTAAAAGGTCAAATGAAAGTTTATGTAATGGGTTTTCAGATCCAAAAAAGAACTTCTGTTCTGAATCTTTTCAACATTCTTAAGGTAACCTTTGTGGCTGAGTTAAAAGTTAAGTCTGCCAGACTGAAGGTGGTTGACTAAAACAACTCGACCCGGAAGCAGAAAGCCTGCTTGGGTCACCACATGGGGAGCGTGTTGTGAGGAGGCGAAAAAGTTGACCTCCATAGACCTGCACTGTATTCCGCTGTTCTTGACTCTTTACTTTTTGTACATTCTGCAATATAGACTACCACCCAAAGAAGATTGGAGACTCATTTATGCAACCCGAAATATCTTAACTTGTGAATTTATGTGTTTTTTTTTAACAAACTGTAACATATGCATTTATTATGACCAAGTATTATATATTGTGCATTATTGCATGTGCTGTATTTTTCTCTTTTTTTCTCTTTTATTTTTAGAGAGTAGAAGGGAGAGGAAGAGACAAAGAGAAACATCGATGTGAGAGAGTCACATTGATTGATTGCCTCCTACATATGCCCTGACCAGGGAAGGGAATCTGCAACCAAGGTATGTGCCCAGGACCCTTCAGTTTGTGGCTAGGGCTGAATTTGCATTCTTAAACAGAGTTTCATCTTGGCCCTTTGTTTCTCACTTGAGACACTGCTCTACAGACTTTTAATTGTTTGAGTCTTAAAGAAGAACATGTATTCATCTATGGTGTGCGATAAAAAGCAAGCAAGCTGGTTTTAAACTCTGTTTTACCAGATTGTCCATCCACTGGAAAAATTGCTTGTCTCAGAAAAATTTGAGTATCAGCCTAAGGACATTTAAGAGTTTGTTGTAACACAGAGCTTCTCAAATGATAGTGTTCAAATGAGTTACGTGGAGATCTTAAGAGCAGTTACTGAAACAGTGGGTCTCGGGTGGGCCTGAGAGCCTGCCTTTCTCACCAGCTCCCAGGGCTGCTGGTCCACAGGGAACACTTGGGCAACAAGGTTTTAAGAGAGCTGCTGCTCCGTGCCATTTCCCTGCAATCCAGGACATCATTTCTCCTGCCTTCGCTCTCGGCCTCATGCATTTATCATTAGAGGGGCTTCATGTCCCCAGAGAATCAGAATACATGTGGTGGGAAATTGGCTGAGTTGAATCAAAATGCATTGGTTTGGCCTCTGTCGACACATTGCCTGTGTCTGTAACTGTATTTCAGTTTCAATAAATGCACGCACATGGGTCTGAGGTAAACATATTGGTTTAAATGAAAATTCACTGGTTGGGAAACAAACATAGGATTGCAGTGAAAACACATTTTGCTAAGTATTTTGCATAATTCCCACCAACAGATGCTAGGAAAGCGATGTTTAGGTTTCAGTGGCAGTTCATTGAATTCATTGGCCTTCTATTTATTTCACTGAACATGTATGAGTTTTGATGAAAATGCATTGCTTGGAAGAAATCAGTCAGGCTCTTCCTATACAGGCCGGTTGTAATGTCCTTCCTAATTCTGGAGCCATACCACCGGGCTCTTGTTTGTGAATACCTATTATTTGTAATGTTCCACATTGCTTAGGTGGCAGTGGGCAAAGCAATTTTACCTGTTCCTTGAGTTTGTAATGTAGGGGAATCATTGAACACTACAGAATATAAATGTGACTAAAATCTATGTTAGAATAACTATAAGATGTTTTTTTAAATCTCAAAATGTTATTTTTTCTGAACCAATTTTTATACAGAAAAATATATTCCAAAATGTTGGGCTAAATCTAGAATCAATTTTGAAATCACAATACTGTACACTAAATACAAATATTGGCAATATTTGACAAAATCCATGATGTAATTATAGTAAAGCTACACTGGAAACCAATTGAATTGAGGACAGATGTAGAATTTGTATCAAATCAATGCCCTGAAATGAGCCTACATCCACAGAGTGATCATAAATATATTGCTAATTTCTCCTGCTACCCAGAGACATGATGGTGACAGAGGAGGAAGAGCAAGGATGTTTTCTTCATATTGTGACAATGTTCTAATATGGTGCTTTAGATACTCAAATGGATCAGATATATGTAGCACATGATCAGCCAGTTGCCTGGTGTGAAAAATTATTCTTAATCCAGGATAAGAATTTAAAGGGGCAGAGAGTACAAGCTACATAGATGTAGCTAATTGGACATTTTTTTTTTTTTAATCCACCAAATCTAGCTTGATAAGAAACTCTCAAGCCTAAACATGCTTTAGTCAGAAATAAGCTGAATGATACTTCTGGGCCTTAGGAATGTGGGTGGCATTTTGTTGGGCAAGTTATAAAATCAGGTGCAGGTTAAAACTGCAGATTCCATGACTACCTGACTTCCAATCTATCTTGTCCTTGCAATTCTGTGGCCAGAACACAGAGTCTCCCTTAATGACCCAGAATAGCTTTAAAAAAATAAAAAATGCATTACTTTTTCTCTTCCAGCCCTGATATATTATCTTGAGGAGATGCATTCTGAAGTATAGTAATCCCCCCTTATCAGCAGTTTCACTTTATGCAGTTTCAGTTACCTGTGGTCAACCATGGTCTGAAATATTAAATGGAAAATTGCAGAAATAAGCAGTGCATAAGTTTTAAATTGTGTTATGTTCTGAATGATGTGGTGAACTTTTGCACCACCCTATCTGGAATGTGAGTCACCCTTTGTCCAGCACCTTCACGCTGTATTCTCTCTCCACCTGCTAGTCCCTCAGTAACCATCTATCTCCACTGTCTCAGTATCAGTGTTTATGTTCCAGCCACACTTATTGTACTTAATACTGGCCCCCAAGAACAAGACTCGTGACGCTGGCAATTCCGATATGCCAAAGAGAAGCCACACAGTCCTTCCCTTGTAGGGGTGTCGAACTCAATCAGAGAAGGGGCCAAAATCTAAAATCCAGCCTAAATAGAGGGCCAAATGGTTTACTGAACAGTCATAAACTGTCATTGTGATGGAAACGCAGCAGAGTGCAGTGATGACAGCGCGGTGCGGGCCACATTGCAAGGCCTGGCGGGACGGATTTGGCCCGCGGGCCTTGTGTTTGACACATGTGCAAGGGAAAAGGTGAGTACAGTACAAGAGACCACATTCACATAACTTTTACTGCATATATTGTTATAATTGTTCTATTTATTACTCGTGATTGTTGTTAATCTCTTATTGTGCCTAATTTATAAATTAAATTTTATCATAATGGTACGTGCAGGCTCAATCCCTAGTGTGTGGTGTGCAGAAGGTGGCTGATCAATGATCCTCTCTCATCATTGATATTTCTCCCCCCCCTCCTTCCTCTCTGAAATCAATAAAAATATATATTTAAAATAAATAAATAAATGGCTTAGAAGAAAATGTGCCCCACTCTTTTTCTCCTTCTCTTCCTTCTTTTCCTCCTCCTCTTCCTCCTCTTCTTTCTTTCTTTCTTTTTCTCTTTCTCTCTCATCATATCATATCATCTATCATCTATATCTATTCTATATCATCTATCTATCAAGATACAAACAAAAATGTCAAAATAATAACAATTGTTAAATCTAGGTGAAGGTTATCAGTGCGTTTGTATACTATTCTCCTAGATTTTCTGGTTGCTTTGGTTTACTTCTTTTAAAAGTTAGGGGCCCCCTACCTGGTTTGGCTCAGGGGATAAAGCGGTGGCCTGCAGACCAAAGGGTCCCAGGTTCGATTCCAGTTAAGGGCACATAGATTGGTTGCAGGCTCCTCCCGGCCTGGACCCTGGTCAGGGCTCCTGCAGGAGGCAACCAATCGATGTGTTTCTCTCACATCAATGTTTCTCTCTGTCTTTCCCTCTCTCTTCCACTCCCCCTAAAAGTCAATGGAAAGATATCCTCGAGTGAGGATTAACAAAAAAATATAAACAAATAAATAAAAATTCTCATTGAAAATAAATAAATAAAAAGAAAAGTTAGGAGGGAAAGACATGGTCTTGATTGGGTGTGAGGACAGAGAAGAAAGGGTGTCTGTCTTGTTTTTTGTTTTTTCTTTTTTCTTTTTTTTTTTAAAATATATTTTATTGATCCTTTTACAGAGAGGAAGGGAGAGACACAGAGAGCCAGAAACGTCGATCAGAGAGATACATCGACCAGCCGCCTTCCGCACACCCCCCACAGGGGATGTGCCCTCAACCAACGTACATGCCCTTGACCGGAATCGAACCCGGGACCCTTCAGTCCGCAGACCGACGCTCTACCGCCGAGCCAAACCAGTTTCTGCTGTCTTGTTTTTTGATATGTCACAAGTGCCCGACACACATCTGTCCTAGCAAATAACTTTTAAAAGTATGTTTCTTTTTCAAAATATATATTTTATTGATTTTTTTTACAGAGAGGAAGGGAAAGGGATAGAGTTAGAAACATCCATCAGCTGCCTCCTCCACACCTCCCACCGGGGATGTGCCCGCAACCAAAATACATGCCCTTGACCGGAATCGAACCCGGGACCTTGAGTCCGCAGGCTGATACTCTATCCACTGAGCCAAACCGGTCAGGGCCTGTGTTCCTTTGTTTGTCAGAAAGGCAGCGGCGGCGGCTGTGGGTTCTGTTGCACGTGGGGCCCGGGGTGGGCTCGCAGCGGGGCGGGAACAGGCGGTGCAGCCAGCCACCGCCTGCCCTCCTGGGACCGCTGCGGTCTCCACCTCTCCTCCGGCTTCACGCTGCTGCAGCCTGATCACCTGGGCCGGGGAGGGTCGAGGTTCAGAACGGACCGGGACTGTAGGCACCAGCGCAGCAGGGACCAGGGACGATGGGGCCTGTGGCAGCTTCCCACCCTGGGCCGCCTGCCGAGCGCCACTGCAAGTGCCAGGAGCTGTTTCTTCTCCAGGTGGAAGGTGCCAAGCTCACAGTAAACAAAGGGTTGCGGAGCCATTTCCAGGAGAACCACACAGCAGCCCTCAGCACAATCGGGGCGTCCAGCTACCACTTCGGGGTCACGCACGTGGGGACAAAGCAGCTGAGTCCCACAGAGCCATCCCCCGTGTGGGTGGGTGACATGGACCATAGTGGTGGCCTCCGTGCTCAGGCCACTCCCCAGCTGGGCCCCGGCCTCAGGTCCAAGATGGCCATCCAGACCCCCGCAGTCCAAGTTTGTGAACTGGCAGGTGGACGGGGAGGACTGGGGTTCTGACTTAGCAGCTGTCCCCCTCGGGAACCCAATCGTCCTGGTGGGTTCAGGAATCCTCGAGGCCCACTTCCTCCAGAGCACATGTGTCAAACACAAGGCCCGCGGGCCAAATCCATCCCGCCAGGCCTTGCAATGTGGCCCGCACCGCGCTGTCATCACTGCACTCCGCTGCGTTTCCATCACAATGACAGTTTATGACTGTTCAGTAAACCATTCGGCCTGCGATTTAGGCTGGATTTTAGATTTTGGCCCCTTCTCTGATTGAGTTCGACACCCCTACTCCAGAGCATCACGCCATGTCTGGCACTGGGCGGAGAGCTGGTCCCCCCCGGCGGCCTGGGGAGGAGGGTACTGTCCTGTCTCTAGCTGGAAACACACATTGAACAACTGGTTGGCAACAGTAAACGTTGGGCTAGGTGGGCATGCACACGGCAAACTACCACAAAGCAAGAGACCAGCTGCAGGTAGTCGAGGAGTCTGAGGCCAGCACAAGGATGCAAGACACAAGTGTCTCCTTCGGGGACCAGCTGGACTTGCCCAGGGCCAACCTCCTCTTCAAAGGCTCAGAGGACAGCAACTGGATCATGGGTGCCCCGCTGGAGAAGACGCTCCCGCCCCTGCCGCGAAGGCTGGCCCTCGGGGCCTTTCTGAATCACGAAAGAACAAGTCTCAGCGTGGCTTTGGCCTCACCATGGTCTGAGCCCCTCTTGGCTCCTGCCTCCCACTCCTTCCCTCCTTGAGATTCGGAGGGGAGACCCAATCCTCCCTCCTTCTCTCTTCCCTCCCTCCTTGGTAGTCGGGGGGGGGGGGCAGTGGAAAGGAGGGGGCCATCACCCCAGCAGCTGAGGGGGGAATTCTAGAACCACAGGCGCTTTGGGATTCGAAGCACAGGGGGCTGTGTGCCCAATGGACCTGAGGCCCAAGAAGGGGTTCTGGAATCAAGGGGCACGCCAGATTTTGAGTACCAGGGGGAGAGGCTGCCAGACAACCTCAGGGAGACAGAACATCACCATCACCCACAAAGATCTTGGGACCATGCCCTGAGGGGGCAGAAAGAAAAGGAGCTTCCCCATCCCAGGCCTGCCCCCACCCACCAGGAAGACAGGTCAATTGGAAGACTGATCTTGGTTTGCTAAAAGGAAAACAGATAATCAATTTTTATAATATATACACACTAGGGGCTCAGTGCATGAATTTGTGCACTTTGAAAGGAACTGTGGGCCGTGAGGCTGTGGTGGGCATAGGGGCAGGTCTTGGGCCATCCTCCATGCCCCCGCCAAGCCCCTTCCCCTGGGGCCCTGGTCCCTGTCTACCAGCAGCCCCGTTCCTGCAGCCACCGCTCCCACAGGCTGACAGTGCCAGCCCCGCTCACACCCACTAAAGGTATGGAGAGATTGGGGCTGGCTCCTGCAGCAGGTACAAGTGGGGCCAGTACCCTCAGTGGATGTGAGTGGCAGCTGCTGCCCCAATTGCCCCTCAGGAACAGGGGGAGGTGGAGAAGCCTTCAGGGGCAATTGGGGCCGGCAGCCGCTCTTACACCCACCGCCAGCACTGAGCAATTGGGACCAGTGCCAGACGCCAGCAGCGGGTCTCTGTTCCTCGCTTTTCTCTCAGCCATCCAGGTCTTTGCAAAGACAATATTGTTATAATACATATATATACCTGTATATTAGTGATGCCCTCTCGCCACCATGTACATATGAGCAGACCATGGTGGAGACCGCCAGCAGCCATCCTCCCACTCTTCCTAAAACATCACCCCAAACTTTTAGGGGCTGCTCATCTCTGTTTAGGTGCTGCCTGTGACTGGCCTAGGACAATGTGTTTGTAGATACAAAGCAATCCACAGTTTGTGCCTGCTTCTGCTTGGCCTGGGTGTGTGTGGGAAGTAGTGCCCCAAAGCTGGTTTTTACCAGCGCCAGGCCTGGGGGAAGGTCCGCAAAAAGTCTACGGCCCCCCAAGATCTGCCTCTTCCTGCCAGCTATCTGCTAGGTCAGTCACTGAAAGAGCCTCCAGTGGTACTTGAGTGACATGAGGTAGGTTCTCAGTGAGTCATCAGGTAGGGGTGAGAGTTGTGTTCGCCAGATCACACAGTGCCAGTGCTGGATCTGAGGCCACTCAGCAAATGCCCCAGGGTATACCAAACCCAGCTGCCACCCGCTGGGTGCTTGCACACCTTTGTGTGGGGCAGGATCTCAGGGAGTCATCAAGATAGACCAGCAGAGTTGATCAGGCCCAAGTAGACCAAGATTTGGTTGTGTGAAAGGAGGCCTCTATCCTCTAGGCATGCAAGGGGAAAATGTCTCCCATCCTCGAGCACACAACTCATTCTGTCCCACATTCTGCCAGGAGCCCAGTCTCAGCAGGGCAGGGCTGCTGGGAGGAGTTAGGAGGGGACAGCAGTTTCCTGTATTTATACCTTTTTACCCTCTTTGTCCCCCAAATATGGGGTTTTCCAGTCTCCTTTGCAAGTTCTTAAAGAGCCCCTATGTGCTGGGGCTTTGAGACCTCAACCAAAGGCTTGGCCTGGTGCCAGCACTGATAACTTTGTCTGCAGAAGGCTTAATGGCTTCTCTGAAATGGGAATAGTCTTATTTTCCTTATCCTTTAAGCAAGCAAGCATTTACAGAAACCAAAATAGCAGAGTTAAAATTTTTAAACAGCAGTTTTTATATAAGATGGATGCTACAGAGCCACACCACTCAGTCTGTCCCAGAATCTTCTTAGACATCGGCAAGGGGGAGCCACCCAGAGTGTGGAGGGTGGGGGCTTCTGGGACCCCAGTGAGTGGGCTAGAGGATCGCCTATAAAAGGGGGGGGTACCAGTCAGCTTCAAGACAAAGTGGGGGGAATGGCCCCCACCCCAAACCACACAACTCAGTTGCTGACACTGCCTGAATCTGCTCGGACATCTACACCTCGGCCCAGCAGCTGACTCCTCAGCTAGATGCCAGCTCTGCAGGGTGGCGTGAGAGGGAGTACAGAGGGTGGGGCTATTGCATTCCTCCAGGCTGATGCCCTGGGGATGGGCATGTACCACCTAAGAAAGATGGTACCTGTGGTGTGGGAGAAGGACTCAGCCAGGAATACTGGTGGCTGTCCCTTCAGCTCTCTCCCTAGAGCCTCTTCTCATGTGACTCTCTCCCTCCGCCAGAGCCCAGGGTGAGTGGCTGTGAATGAGATTTTGTGTGTTGGCACTTTAAGAAGCAGCCCGTGTCTCTCCCTGGTGGGCAGAGTACCTGCTGATTTTCACAGCCAGATGTTATGTGAGTTCTTCTTCCAGGCTCTGGTGCTCTGAGCCGGGGATCCCTGTGTGGGGCTGAAACTCCACACTCCTCAGGGGGAACCTTGGCAGCTGAGATATTCCTCAGGAACCTCAGCGGCCACCGGTGGGAGCAGGGCCAGTCCTGTTCACCTCTCCTCCTTTCTACCTGTCTCAGTGTGGCTCCTATAAATCCCTGGCTATAAGACTTCATCAGCTGGTCCCCGTTGGTTACTCAGGTAGAGTGCTTTATATTTTAGCTGTAATTCCAGTTTGGCCCTGGGAGGTGGTGAGTGTAACATCTAGCTACTTAGCACCCATCTTCTAGTATCCTCCCACAGAGCCGTTTTTTTTAAAGAAACTATCATAATAATTTATTGATTTTGAGAAACATCCACTTATTGTTACACTTATTTATCTATTCATTGGTTAATTCTTGTATGTGCAACCTTGAAATTTTCGGGGGAATGCACTAAGCAACAGAGCTACCTTGCCAGGGCTCCCACACGGCCTCTTAAACCACCGATGCATGATCAAACTTGGTCCTCAGAATCAGCAGGTGAACAATTGTGAGCTTAAGGTATGAAACCTCATTGTCTGCTAGCAGGCTGCCGAAACTACCCTCTTTGTTTGTGAATTTCTTAGAGGGATTCAATTTTTAAAAAACCATTCAAGTCCATATACACCCATTAGAAAGGGAAAATTAAGCCTGGCAGCATATAAAGCATGGTATTGATAAAGAATGTTGCCCAACAAATAAACTTTTAACAAAACTCCAGTAGATGGCAGTATTAGCTAACTTTTTCCTTAAAAAAAAAATAAAGTTCAAGATGCTAACTAAATGTTGGGTAAGTTAAATGTGTTTTTTAAACTTCTAAATAAGAATTGAATGTGTTTTTAAATTATATATTGCACTCTAAATGGTAAAAATAAGGAAAATCTTCAAGTGGCAATGTGAAACAACAACAATAGAGTAATTAAGTGATTAAACTAACATTGAGTGCTAACAAGTGCTAAGGACTTTATTATGGAGCTCTCAAAATTCATGTTGAAGCCCTTACCCACACTCTGCCTCTGTATACAGGGTCTTCAGGAGATAATTAAGTTTAAATAAGGTCATAAGGGTGGGGCTGTAATCCACTAAGACTGGTGTCCCTGTGAGAAGAGGAAGCGACCCAGACACCCTTCTCTCTGTGGACACGAGGAGGAAAGGCCACGCGAGGACACAGCAAGAAGGCAAAAGTCTACAAGCCAGGAGGAGAGTCCTCACCAGAAAACAATCATGATGACATCTTGACCTTGGCCTTCTAGCTTCCAGAAACGTGAGAAAATAAGTTCATGTTGTTAAACCATCCAGTCTGCGGTATTCTGTATGGCTGTCCGAGGCCAGTCACAGACTTTCCTAACAGTATATATTTAAGTTCTCACCACCCTGAGGTGGGAATTATTGTATCTGTTGTACTGAGAACACTGAGGGGATTTGTAGTGAATTTGTAAACCATTCCCTGTAGGTTCCCTGATTGTGGTATCTCTGGCTGGTTCCACCACAGACAACGACCTCTATGTGGCTACAGCCAGGGGTCTACTTTCTGTCTTCATTGAGCTCAGCCTATCAGCACCGTTCCACACAGGTTTTCACTCCCTCTCTGGAAACTTGGCTTCCAGAGCCTATGCTCACTGGTATTCTTCCTACTTCTTTGGTCATTCTTCTCAGGTGAGCTTTGTTGGTGTCCCTGCATATCCGTGATTCTAAACCTGGCCTGGGCTTCTTGTTAAGCATTCCCCTGTGATCTGAACGAGTCTCATGGTAATTGCTACAGCCTCCAAACTGGTTTTCCTGCTTCCATACTTGTCCCCCTACAGTGACAGCAGCCTAGGTGTTGAAACGGAATTTTTGGACTGGAACCTGAATTCTTTGTCCACCAGAATGGAGGGATGATTCCATGGACAGTAGGGTGGTATAACAAAAATGGAGATTTATTGAAGAACAAGTACAGACTCCCACATGGGGAGAGGCAAGAGTCCCACAGAATGGACTCCCACGTACGGAGAGGGAGAGGGTCCCACTGAGTTCCTTTCCCCTGTGGCTTATAAAGGCTGCAGATCCTGGTGCCTTGATATGCCCTCTAATAGTCACTATTCCCTTAGACTGGTTACTGTAGTAACTCCTGGTCTCAGAGGTCAAACCTCACATGGGACCCCCTCCTTCCTTACTGTTTTCCATTCCCTTTGGGCTTTCTTCCTCTCCTTCTGGATGGAGGGCTTCCTTCCCTTTATGTTGTAAACATGGACTTTTTGCTGTTCCCAGCTCCCTCATTCTATGGAAAGGTACCTGTTGCAGCTTTTCAGCTTCCCTAATCTATGGAAATATGCCTTCTGCTGCTCTGCAGCCCTGAGCTTCCCTCCATGGTCCCCTTAATTTCCAAAATTTCCTAAACCTGTTCTATTTTACCCCTAAAATTCCTGTTTCAGTGTCCCTGTTAAAATCACGTTAGATCATATCGTTTTTTGGCTCAAATCCCTGCAAAGGCTCTCCTCTGTCTCAGAGAAAAAGGAAATGGCTTTCGAGGACTTGCACCGTGAGCACCGCTAGCCCCAGACCCCTGCTATTTCTAAATTTCTCTCCGACCTGATCCGTTACTACTCTTTCCTCTGCTCACTCACTCCAACCACTTAAACCAGCCATATTTGTGCCTCAGGGCCTTTGCACTTGCTGATGTTTCTGCCTGGAATATTTCCCTGGTGATGCAGATGTCATCGTGTCCTTGGGGCACGCCTGACTAAATTGCAAATCTCACACTCCCAGTACTTCTTACCCCCCTTCTTCACTTATGTTTCCCTTTCCCTCATCTTACAGTTACCTAACACACTAAAGACTTTACTTACCTTGGTTATTGCCTGCTTCCTCCCCTCTGGATTATAAATTCCCCAGAGGCAGGGATGGTTATCCTTGTTTGTTTGTTTTTCCACTGTTCTAGCCTCCTAATCTAGAGCAGTGCAGGGCACATGGAAGATAGTCAATAAATGAAAGAACCTAGAGATAATGATTAAGAATAAGAAGCATTGCCCTAGCTGGTTTGGCTCAGTGGATAGAGCGCCAGCCTGCAGACTGAAGGGTCCTGAGTTTGATTCCAGTCAAGGGCACATGCCTGGGTTGCGGGCTTGATTCCCAGTGTGGGGAATGCAGAAGGCAGCCAATCAATGATTCTAGCTCATCATTGATATTTCTATCTCTCTCCCTCTGCCTTCCTCTTTGAAATCAATAAAAACGAAAATAGAAATATGTTTTAAAAAAAAGAAGGGTGAGACCGGTTTGGCTCAGTGGTAGAGCGTTGGTCTGCAGACTGAAAGGTCCCAGGTTCGATTCTGGTCAGGGGCATGTACATTGGTTGCAGGCACATCCCCGGTGGGGAGTGTGCTGGAGGCAGCTGGCCGATGTTTCTCTCTCATCAACGTTTCTAGCTCTCTATCTCTCTCCCTTCCTCTCTGTAAAAAATCAATAAAATATATTTAAAATATATATATATATATATATATATATATATATATATGAAGGATTATTGTGCAAAGAAGAATTCCCAAAGCTCCCTACAACTTACACAGAGAAAACAAAACAAAACAAAATCACATATAAATCACTATATGAAAGATTAGACAGAATAAAAAAAATTATCAGACATTGAGGATTCTTAAGTATTGCAATAAGCTATGAAGGAAAACTAGCAAATCTCTGGACACATTGGAAAATAGGACAGTTTCTAAATATGTTGGTGCTATTTGCCTTCATTGTGTGTGAAGACAAAGGGATTGGATGGCTTCAAGTGGTCTTCCAGGCCCCGGAATCTACAGCTGAAATAAGTGTATTTTTTATCTAATTTTTGTGCATTTAAATATCCAAATGTAGCATTGTTCCATGCTTAGAGGATTTTGTAGACAACAAAGAGCATTGTAAAGCTAATCCTGTTGTTTGTAATTTTAAAAAAAAAACAAAAAACAGCAGACTTGCCTATAAAGATTATTGTATATAATCCATTCATAGGCTTGTCTGAATCCCTCCCCTTCAGGAAATGTCACAATTTTTATGATATCCCTGAATATTATTAACACGTGTTTATATAGCTCTCTTCAAAGAGGTCAATAATGTGATTTAGTAGCATGTTATTTCCACATCAGGCAGCAGAACTTATCTGGATTTTATAAGTTAGGGTATAGAGCGAAATACAAATATGTGAAAATACTTTGCCTAATAACAATACATCTAAAATTAGGATTGATCATCATATGTACCAAATATTGTACGTAAGTTCTATCTGAAGGTGTATTTTGTCACCTTGTGGCTTGAGGTGTTTTTAGTTGTATGTTTCATTTCTAGAATCATTTTCTGAAAACAATGTGGTTTCAGAACTCAGCTGACAGATGTATGAATCTGACTCCAGGGGTTTTTAGAGCTGGAAGGGGCCTCAGAGACACCAGCAAATGCGCCTGGAGACATGAAGCAACTTGCCCAGTGACATAGAGTAGCTTGTGGCCAGACCGACACTAGAATCCAGTTTTTCTGATTCCAGCCGGTCTCGTTCTTTTTTCCCATGCTCAGAAAACCTGTGAATCTCCCAAAACACTGCAAATTGAGCTTTGCCCTGCCTGTGATGGCGGCAATTTTCGGAAGGGTATGTATTGTGTCAGAGCAGACTGCAGGGCTTTAGGAGAGGACGGGAACAGCCTGTGCATGGGGACTGGTGTTTGGGAATCACTGTGGCAATGAGGAGTGGACTGCCATTCTCCCTGGCGCCAAACCCAACTGCAGCTCTGTCGCTCTGCACCTGGCTCTGAGGACACATATCACATCTGTGGCTACTCTAATTATAGCTGGTAATAATGCCCATGCATTTCATTGGTCTCTTGTACAGAGAAAGAAGTTGAATAACAGAATCCTCATTTAAATAAGGATGCATAAATGTTTTACACCATGAGCCTGTTTTCTATTCAGTTATAGAGTAGGCCATCTGGTAATTGAGAAAATCGTTTGAAAACCCACCCAAATTAATCTGAAATGTTGCATTTCCTACCTTTGGGGCTTTGAGTTTTTAAATTTTATGATGTTGTAATAGAGGGTGATCAAGCTAAAAGTAATACCTCTCCTATACCTATGCACACGTTTTAGGGTACACATGCATACAATTCACATAACAAGATGCATGTACTAGCACACTGGTATATTTAGTAGAATTACATACAAGAATGCCAGACTAGAATCCAGTTCATCCAAGCAACAGATAGCACATTCACTTATCAGCATAATATGCTAGCATATGAAAGTTCTAACACTAAGACATGATATCAAAAGTAGGATTCATAAATCTGAGTATGACTTAGAATCCTGTACATTAGGTGCATAACTATTGTGTTAATGTCTTAGGTGTGCAACAAATAAGACACAAAGGAAAAGAGTTCAAGGGTTTTACAGTCCCTCAAGTGGTGAAGTGTACATTAATGATGAAAATTATAACAAAAGCTAAAAGTAAAAAAGGAGGACCTCAAAAACACCTCTTTAAAAATATTTTTAATATGTGTTTTTATTTATTTTCGAGAGGGAGGAAGAAAAAGGGAGAGAGCCATCGATCAGTTGATTCCTGCACGCCCCCTACTGGTGATTGAGTATGCACCCTGGGCTTATGCTCTGATCAGGAATTGAACCAGAGACCTTTTGGTGCATGGGAGGATACTCAACCAACTGAGCCACACCAGCCAGGGCAAAAGAATAACATATTTTGAGTCCAGGGGTTTTCAAACATTTTAGTCACAATCTCCACAGCTAAACAACTGTTAAACAATCAAAAACCTTATCTGATGGTAAAAATTTTAATGATTTACATATTCAAGGCAAGTGGCAGTAAAGTTTATATCACTAATAATGACACAAAAGATAATGGTAGTAAAAAATAACAGTTGTACATATTATGACAGTTTAGGGATTAAATTAATATGAATTGTAAGGTTTTTTTATTTTTTTTTAAATATATTTTTTATTGATTTTATACAGAGAGGAAGGGAGGGAGATAGAGAGTTAGAAACATCGATGAGAGAGAGTCATCGATCAGCTGCCTCTTGCACACCCCCTACTGGGGATATGCCCGCAACCAAGGTACATGCCCTTGACCGGAATCGAACCCGGGTCCCTTCAGTCCCCAAGCCGACGCTCTATCCATTGAGCCAAACCGGTCCCGGCTGTAAGGTTTTTTTTTGTAGGTTTAATCTTATCCAGGTCAAATAAGACATTTTTCCCTTCTAGTTATCTCTGCTCCAGTTTTTGTTTCATATTTGCAAATGAATGAGCTGTTTTACTTTGTAAGACAGAAATGACAAAATATTGTAGAGTTATATCTTCACACATTTTACTATGTAAATATGTACACATCTATTCAAAATCCTACTTATCACATGTCCCTAGAGAATACTAGCAAAACCCCATGGGATTCTAGAGTTCCTATGAACGTAGTTTGAGGAACCCAATTTAAAATGTGTGCTTTGTTAGAATTATCAGTGTATAGGCTAGGATGATTTGGTTCCAACTAAGTTAAATGTCTTTTATTCACATATTAAGTCCTGAGGCAGAACAGCCACAGGGTCAGTTAATTCAGCAGCTTAACAAGACCATCAAAGACCTAGAATTCTTTCCTTCTTTCCATTCTGCTGTACCTTGCCTTGCAGAATGGGGCTTCCTTCATGGTCAGAAGGTGGCTGCAGTAGTTCCAGACATCACTTCCCTTATATCTCCCCAGAGTGACAACCAAAACCTAGAAGAAAAAATAAAGACACAGCTTTATCTTCTGTTCCTTCCTAAGAGTGAGCAAGACAATCTCAGATGCCCCAATTCCAATCCGATTTCCCTTTGTAAGGCTGAAAACTGCATCCTGTGCTCATTCCTAAGCAGCCACCAAAAGAGGGGAGTAGAATGATCATCGTTGGCTAGGAAAGTGTTTCTCAGCCCAAGCTGCACACTCACAACACTTGGAAAGTTTTCAAAAACTGCAAAACTCTAGACTAATTAACCACGATCTCTGGAGGTGGGCCTGGGTATCAGTATTTTTCCCAGAAGATTCTGATAAACTGTGAGGGGTACTGATATCTGTTAGAATGGCTGTTATCAAAATGACAAGATAACAAGTGATGGCAAGAATGCAGAGAAAAGGGAACCCTTGTGCACTATTGGTGGAAATAAAATTTGTAAATTGGTGTAGCCATGATGGAAAGCAATACGGAGGTTCCTCAAAGAATTAAAAATAGAACTACCAATTGCAATTCCACTATCAGGTATTTATCGAAAGAGGGGAAAAACTAACTTGAAGGCTATATGCTCCCCCATGTTCAGTACAGTTATTTATAATAGCCAAGATATGGAAACAACCTAAATGTTCATAGATTAATGAAAATATTATATATAACTGTATATACACATATAAACAAATACACACAATGGAATAGTGTTCATTCTTTAAAAAAAAAAAAAAAAAAAAGGAAATCTTGTTGTTTGTGACAAATGGATGAACACTGAGGGCATTAGGCTAAGCCAGACAGAGAGAGACATACTGTACG